GGCACCAGGATGTCGTCAGAGACCTGAGCTTTGCTCCCAATGGAAGCCCCATCCTTGTGTCGGCCTCCCGGGACAAGACTTTGCGCGTCTGGGACCTGAGCAGAGATGGTAGGAGCGTGCAGGGTTGTCCCCGGTGCTAGGTCACCCCTGGCTGAGGCTGAGCTCTGCTGTGGAAAAGGAGGGAGAAACCCACCTCGGTAGGGGAGATGGTGGGAGAGGATCTTTGGGGACAGTATTCAAGGCAGAAGGGGAGAGTCCTGCGACACGGAGCAGAGCCATCTTCTTCCAGGTGGGGCCTGGGAGGTGCAGGAGGGGGTTGCAAGTAGACAGAACTTGGGATCTGCCCAGGGGAACCCCCCAGCCCCACGTGCATTCCCTCTCGGGAAAGGGAGGGGAGAGCAGGGGCAGGGCCCAGCGCTGCCTCTTATGCTCCCCTCTCGTGACTCGCGTGTCTGCTGTCCCCAGGGCGGCAGGTCCAGGTGCTGTCGGGCCACGTGCCAATGGGTCTACTTCTGCTCCCTCTCCCCAGACTGCAGCATGCTCTGCTCCGCTGCTGGAGAGAAGTCGGTGAGTCCTGCAGGATGGGAGCCATCCCGTGCCCTGCTGAATCCAGTGCTCCCCTCGGCCCTCCGTGTCCCCCCCATGCGAGAAGCCCCGCTATGAGAAGGGTCCAGGCCAGAGCCACTCTCACTCCGCGGCCTTTCTGATTCTGTGTGGAGGAGCTGGGACCAGAGCTCATGTGCCTTAAACCCCAAGGGGGAGATGCTTATCCTCCGTTCCCACCCCAGGGATGCTCCCAGCCTCAGCCCCTGCCCATGTCCCGCAGGCGCTGCTGTGGAGCATGCGGTCCTACACCCTCATCCGGAGGCTGGAGGGGCACCAGAGCAGCGTGGTGTCGTGCGACTTCTCGCCGGACTCGGCGCTCCTCGTCACTGCTTCCTACGACGCCTGCGTCATCATGTGGGACCCCTACACTGGGGAGCAGCTGAGGACGCTGCGGTATGGAGCCGGGGGGCTGGTGAGGGACCGTGGAAGGGGGACAGAGCAATGCCATGGGGGTTTGTTGGGGCTGAGCGTGGCCTTCCCTTCTAATGGGGCACAGCCAGCACCTTTCCCCAGTCTCCAGCGGCCGAAGGAGGGCTCTGACTTGCTGGGTTTGGCCCCTCGGCCAGCCCCAGAGCGCTGGGGATGGGGCTTACGGCAGAAAAACGTGGTTTCTCCTCCCCCCCCGCAGCCACGTCCCCTTGCACTCGGCAGTGGACTACAGCAGCGAAGTCCACACCAGCTCCCTGCGCTCCGTCTGCTTCTCTCCTGAGGGCCTCTACCTGGCCACGGTGGCGGACGACAGGTGAGTGAACCCCCTTGGGGACCTCCAGTGGGAAGAGGGTCCCAGGAGGACACCACCAAAACGAACCAGGAGCTCAGGACGTGCCAGTGGGGAGCAGACTTCGCATGCCAGGTCCCCACCAGTGCCCGGCATAAGGGGAAGGGGCAGGCTGCCCGGGACACAGTGGCTTGGCT